ATATTGAACCTGCTAAGCACCTTTTTCACGTATTTAGTCTGTGAAAGTCTCAAAGTGCCTTTGACTCGATCTCTAATAATCCTCATACCAAACATACCAAAAATTTATTTTGTCGCTCCCAAATCCTTCATTGCAAAGTGCTCTGACATCTGCTTCTTCAAATTATTAATCTCATAAATGCTGGCCTCTTCAATAAACATATCATCTACATACAACATGATGATATAGGAATGGTCAAAGTACCTGACATAGCAATAGTGATCTGCCTGACATCTGCTGTATCCGACATTTTGCATGAAATTATCAAACTTATTGTACCATTGTTTAGGAGCTTGCTTCATACCATACAAGCTTTTCTCCAGTCTACAAACTGAATCTTCTTTTCCTTGTACTACGAACCCTTTAGGATGGTGCATATAGATGACTTCTTCAAGGTCTCCATGAAGAAAAGCTATCTTCACATCTAATTGCTCCAGGAATAGATCTTCGGTAACAACCATATCCAGGATCATTCTAATGGTTGTGAGTTTTACCGCTGGAGAAAAGATCTCAGAGTAATCAATGTTTTGCTTCTGTTGAAAACTTTTTGCAACAAGTCTTACCTTGCTCAATCTTTACCCGGTACACCCACTTGTTGTGCAATGCCTTCTTCCTTGGGGGAAGTTCTGTTAGATCCCATGTCTGATTTCTCAGCATGGAATCCACCTCCTCCTTCATGGCCAGTTCTCACTTGCTAGAATTTTCATCTGCTAAGGTTTCTTCATAGCTTTGTGGTTCTCCATTATCTGTCAGCAATATGTAATTTAAAGTTGGTGAGTAACGCTGCGGCGAGTGCATGCTCCTGACTGACCTTCGAACGACGACTGGGGTAGTGAATGACTTTGGATCTGCCTGCGAAATAATAGGAATGGGTGCCCCGGACCCATTCTCCTCCTCATTCCCATCTCTGTCCTGCTCTATGCCCTCTGATAGATCGTTGAGCTCCACGAACTTTGACTCCTGAGAAGCTGCTCCAGAATTTGTATTGGCCTTATCTTTGTACATCATTTTCTCATTGAAAATCACATTTCTGCTTTCGATAATCTTTCGATCCTGATCGCTTTCGATAATCTTTCGATCCCGATCATCCCAGAAATGATAACCAAATGTTTCGTCTTCATAACCAATGAAATAACATTTCTTTGACTTAGCATCAAGCTTGCTATGCACATCAGGATTGATTAGAACATAAGAAAGACAACTAAAAGTCTTAAGATGAGAAAATTTTACCTCTTTGCCGCTCCAGACCTCCTCAGGTAATTTACAGTTTAATGGGACAGATGACCCTCTATTGATCAGGTAAATTGCAGTGATGACCGCATCTGCCCAGAAGGTTGATGGTAGTTCTGCGTGCAATCTCATGCTCTTTGCACGCTCATTGATGGTCCTGTTCATGCGTTCTGCAACTCCATTTTGTTGTGGTGTCCCCGAAATGGTCTTCTCCATTCTGATATCTTGAGCTGCACAGTACTCCTTGAACTCACCATCAATGTACTCACCACCATGGTCAGATCTCAAACATTTTAGTTTTAGATCTATCTCCGTTTAAACCATGACCTTCCAAGTTTTGAACACAAAAAATACATAAGATTTATGCTTCAAAAAGTAAACCCATACGTTTCTGTTGTGGTCATTTATGAATGTGATGTAATAGCGAGAGCTTCCAAGATATGTCACTGGGGAAGGCCCACACACATCGGTGTGTACCAGTTCTAGTTTTCCTGCCTTTGGCACCCTGCCACCTTTCAAGAAA